ATATTAAAATTGATAATTTCTTACATATAAAACAAGCTAAAAAAGATTTTAATACAAAAGCGCACCGACTGTGCTTCATAATGAGTTAATTAATAAAAAATAATACTTGGAAAATAATGATCTTTCAAAAAATTCTACAGAACGCACTATTTGCATTACAATCTTGTAATTTTCACCAAATATTCTTAGATATATATTATATAAAAAATACTAAAATTAGTAAACTCTATTACCAAAAATAAAATATAACTGATTTTGTAAAAAAAATCACTCTTCCAGTACTATTCACAGTAAAAGAAGAATGTATGTCAGAAAATGATGATTTTCAAAAATTTTTACAAGAAGTACCGTTTGTATTACAGTCTTTTAATTTTCACCAGTTATTCTTTAATATGTCTATTATGATAACAAATATTAAATCTGATGATTTTTACACACTAAATAAGCGAAAAAAAATTTAATACAAAAGCGCGCCAACTGTGCTCCATAATGAGTTAATTAATAAAAAATAATACTTGGGAAATAATGATTTTTCAAAAAAATCTACAGGTCGTACCGTTTGTATTACAACCTTATAATTTTCACCGAATATTCTTAGATATGTCTACTATACAACCAAATACTACAATTAATAAATAATCGATCCAAATAAATGTAAAAAATATTTATGCAAAAAAGGGGTACTCCAAACTATATTGATTTGCAAAATAAATTCAAAAAGTCGGTTTCGAAGAGCTCTTCAGAACGTAGTATTTATATTAATGCCATGAAATTTAAGTATATTATTCCTAAATCTATCTATTAAATCAAGAAATACAAAAATTAATGAATGATCTTCTAGTATAAATGTAAAAAATAATTATGTAAAGAAAGTACACTAAAATATATTGATTTTCAAAATAAATTCAAAAAGTCGGTTTCAAAGAGCTCTTCAGAACGTACTTTTTATTTTCAAGCCATGAAATTTAAGCATGTTATTCCTAAATCTATTATTATATCAGTAAATACAAAAATTAATAAATTATCTTTAAGAATAAATGTAAAAAATATTTATGTAAAAAGATTACATACACGAAACTATATTGATTTGCAAAATAAATTAAAAAAGTCGGTTTCAAAGAGCTCCTCAGAACATACTTTTTATACTAGAACCTTCAAATTTAGGTATGTTATATCTCAATATGTCTAGTATTACAATAAATACTAAAATTAATAATATTTTATAAAAAAAATGAGTAAAAATTTTTTTTATAAAAAAGCGTATATTCTTATATATTCATAGTAAAAAAATAAACAGTTTCAAAAAATTATTTCTTTTCAAAAATATTATAGATTTTTAAATGAAGTATAATTGATTTTATAGAAAATTACTTGCTTTACCAAAAAAAAACACTTAATTTATTAATAAACAAAATTTATACCAAACATTTAATTTATTCATATAATTTTTTCACTATATGAATAAATAATTATGTAAACAAAGTACACCAAACTATATTGATTTTTTAAATAAATTCATAAGGTCGGTTTCGAAGAGCTCTTCAGAACATACTTTTTATACTAGAACCTTGAAACATGAGTATGTTATACCTCAATATGCCTATTATTACAACAAATACTAAAATTAATAACATTTTATAAAAAAAAAATAAGTAAAAAAATAATTATAAAAGATCGTATATTTTTATATATTTATAGTAAAAACGAAATAGATTCAAAAAATTATTTTTTTACAAAATATTATAAATTTTAAATGAAGTATAATAGATTTTATAGAAAATTGTTTGATTTAACAAAAAAATAGTAACTGAATTTTATAATAAGCAAAATTTACACCTAACTTTTATTTTTTTATATACCTACATTTTTAAGACTAAACTAATTTAGGTTAAAGATTTTATTTTTTTATTGTAATAAATTTATTTAGCAATCAGAAAATTACAATTTTTCTATAAGTTAAATTGCAAACTATGTGAGTGTTAAAATAAGATAGGATCCACTGAACTATCTTACATTATGTTACTTAATATTATAAAGGTTAAAGATGCATTTATTTCATTTTTGTATACAAAACCCTCAGTGTACACCTTTTTTTATAATTTTATCAATATTATATACCATCAATATATACTTTGATATTTAAAAAAAATATTTTTTTTCAATGAGGACCCTCTAAATCAACGACTTTTGCCTTCAATGAAATACCGGTGCGAAGTTCATCTGACAAGTCAGCATGACTTGTTTTTGTGTTTTGTTTTTACGATATGAAAAACCGGCGAGCTGGTAAAACGATAGACGATATCGTATTTATTTACGATACTGACGATACTGAAATTGTGCTAAGTCGAAAAAATATCGCAAATTCTATATAGAATGTGTAAAAAAAAATAACAACTAATTTGTGTAAAGAATTTTTGGTTCAGTGACCTGGTTTTTGAGAAAAAACATGTAACAAGTTTTTAAAAATATTTTTGTGTTTCTAGGGCGATTTATGGGTATACCGGGTTGCTGTAGAATTTTATGATGTTAGGCAATGTTAAAGATAATTTAATTTTGAACAAATTTTCCATATACACTTTTTATATTTCACTAATAGTTTCATAGTTATGAATTTTTTCGTAAACCAATGCACCTTTTGAGATGTACCACAGTAAGATCAATATTTGTTTCATTATGTTTTTTAAGTATACCGAGTTATTGTAGGGTCTTATAATGTTAGACAATGTTAAAGATTATTTAATTTTGAACAAATTTTCCATATACACTTTTTATATTCCGCAAATAGTTTTAAAATTATGAATTTTTTCGTAAACAAATGTACCTTGTGAGATGTACCACAATAATATCAAAATTTATTTCGTTGTGGTTTTAGAGTATACCGAGTTGTTGTAGGGTCTTATAATATTAGACAATGTTGAAGATAATTAAATTTTGGAAAAGTTTTTCATATACACTTTTTATATACAACCAATAGTCTTAAAGTTATGATTTTTTTCGTAAATCAATGCACCTTTCGAGATGTACCAGAATAATATATAATGTATCAATATTAAGAATACCATAATGAATATAATATACCGATATCAGTTTCATGATGTTTTTCAAGTATACCGAGTTATTGCAGGGTCTTATAATGTTAGACAGTGTTAAAGATAATTTAATTTTGTACAAATTTTCCATATACACTTTTTGATTTCCACCAATAGTGGAAATTACACAAATGCACCTTTTGAGATGTACCACAATAAAATCAACATTTGTTTCAATGTGTTTTTTAAATATACCGAGTTGTTGTAGGGTCTTATGATGTTAGACAAGGTTTTAGATAATTTAATTTTAAACAAATTTTCCATACACACTTTTTATATTCCACTAACACTTTTATTGTTATAAATTATTCAATAAGCAAATTCAGGTGAAAAATGCTTTGTATGTACATAATCGTTTCCAAATCTCAAAAAATAATAAATACGACAAATTTAACGACTTTCTTATATTGTTCAAATTTATTTAACGTCTAAAAATATTTTTGCATACTAATTTACAATTTTTATCATAATTAACAATTTTAAAATATATAATTTCTTTCTGAGTTCTCCAAACTCTTTGTAAGGACATACTGGACTTTAAAATTTATTTTTTTTTTAGAAAAAGTTCAAATTTATTTAAAGATTTATATTTGATAAAATAATATACACTTTTAGCAATATTCTTGCATAAGCAAAATAGAATTTTGAACTTATTTTTTTAATTAAATAAATAAATTCTTTCTCGTTGACACTCTAAAACTGAGACGGAATGTAAAATTAGACTACAAACACTTTGCAAGTGCTTGCTCGAATTTCAAACTTAATTTTGTTATAAAAATTTCAAATTCACTTAAAAATTTATTTACAGAAAAATAATAGACACTTTTAGTAATATACTTGCATAAACAAAACACGATTTTAAGAAATTTTACTTAAGAATATAATAAATTCTTTCTGAATCGGCACACCATTTCTTTTTAAAAACCTCGACAATTTTGACACCACTTTTGCACAACACTTTCCAAAACACTTTATAAATCAAAAAATTCCTTAAACATCCAGTGACATTTCTATATACACATATAATACTATTTTAAATTTTATCATTTTTAAATAAATAATTTCCTTGCGCCGTCCATAAATTTTTTCGACACTCGAAAACCAGTATATTACAAACCAAATAGTAGACTTTATTAGAAAATTTTTAAATATACTTGAAGATTTATATACAGTAAAAAAATACACACTTTTAACAATACTAATTCATAAAGAAAATCCAATGTTAAAACTTTTCACTTAAAAAAAAATAATTTTATGTCTACTTACACTCAAAAACCTTAACACATTAACCGTTTGACTGCAATTTTGAACCACACTTTCCAAAATACTACCACACTTTTCATACACCAAAAAATTCCTCAAATACTCAACAAAATGTCCATAAACCAAAATACAAACTTTTTCATCTTTTACTATTTTAAAATAAATAATTTGCTTGTGCGGTCCCTGTAAAATTAGGCTAAAAACGCTTTGCAAGTTCTTGGTCGACTTTGAAACTTAAATTTGTTATACAAATTTTAAATATACTTAAAAATGTATATACAGTAAAATAATATACACTTTTAGCAACATTCTTGCCTAAACAAAATATTATTTTAAAAATTTTCTCTTAATAAAATAATTTCTTTCCCCCAAACCTACACTTAATTCCTCTTCAACCGACACCAAAACAATCGACCCTAATTTTAACCAACACTTTCCCCAACACCACATTAATTTTTATACACCAAAACATTCCTCAAACATCCCTTAACATATCCACAAACCAAAAAACCACTTTTTCAATCTTCAACTATTTTAAATAAATTTTTTTCCCCCAAGTTCACCTTCCCTGGAAACGACTACATCGCCAATCCACGCAACCTGAAACGACGCCTTCTCGCCGGTCTGTGTTATTGAGTTCAGTCAGTCCGCGGCTGTCAGTGGAATCCGAAAGTTTATTCCATTATTTTATCGAATTTAAAAGGTTTTAAAAGGTGGAAAATAAAGGAAAATCTTGTGCTTTTACCGGAAAACATATTGTCGAGTGAGTTCTTGTGTTTAGTCTTATAAATAAGATGGAATTTGATATAATTCAATGCAATGTTTTGCCTTGACAAGTCTTTATGGACGAGTCTAACCTCTTTTGGTGCGAGAGGGATAGAGATAGAGAGCAGTGTTGGTCGGGGATTTTTGGAAAAGGGTTTTTGTAAAAGATAATTAGTAAAAAATAATTATTATTTTTAGTATTTTTGGCCCGTCTTTTTGAATAAATTAAAAATCTAATTCAATAATCAGAACTTATTTGAGAATTAGTTCTGTTTATTAAATAATTTTTCAATTTTTTCAATTAGTTGTCTATTATTATTATTATTTCAAAAATTAGTTCTGTTTATAAAAATTTTTTTTTTGTAATTAGTTCTGTTTATTTTTTTTTCTTAAATTAGTTCTGTTTATTTAATTTTTTAATCAATTAGATGTTTTTTATTATTTTTCTTAATTAGTTACTCTTTATTTTATAAACTGAATTAAAAACCTAATCTAATAAACAGAACTAATTTAAAAATAAATTTAAAAAATAATTTAATAAACAGAAATAATTTCGTTACGAATAAAAAAAACAGAACTGATTTAAGAATAAATTAAATGCCTAATTTAATAAACAGAACTAATTTAAGAATGAATTAAAAAAATAATAAACAGAAAAATTATAAACAATAATAAAAACATATTTAATAAACAGAAATAATTTCGTAACAAATAAAAAAAACAAAACTCATGTAAGAATAAATTAAAAACTTAGTCTAACAAACAGAACTAATTTAAGAATGAATTTAAAAAATAATTTAATAAACAGAACTAATTTCGTAACAAATAAAAAAAAAACAGAACTGATGTAAGTATACATTAAAGGCCTAATTTAATAAACAAAACTAATTTAAGAATGAATTTAAAAAATAATTTAATAAACAGAACTAATTACATAAAATAATAAAAGCATAAATAAACAGAACTAATTACAAAAAATAATAAAAATATATTTAATGAACATAATTTTGCAACAAATAGAAAAAACAATGAACAGAACTGAATTCAGAATGAATCAAAAACCTAATTTGGTATACAGAATTTTTTTCAATAAACAGAACTATTTTTGCTATTAAGATTAATACTCGGTTCTGTTTATTAAATGCATCAATGATTTCATTAACTGTTCATTAAACTCATTAATTTCAGAAAAAAATTAAAGACAGTTTAATATACACTTTTTTGTAATTAGTTCTGTTTATTAAATTATTTTTAATTTTTTTCTAAAATTAAATCTGTTTATTGAATTTTTCCTGTAGTTAGTTCTGTTTCTCAAATATTTTACCATTTTTTTCTGGAATTAATTCTGTTAATTTACTACTTACATAAATAAATTTTATAAACAGAACTGATAACAGATTAAAAAATTATTTAATGAGCAGAACTACTACTTTCAGAAATAAATTTTATAGACAGTACTAATAACACAAAAAATAACAAATCATTTTAATAAACAGAACTAATGTTACTATTTCGGTTATTTAGTTCTGTTTTTTATTTTATTTATTCAATTATTACTGGAATTAGTCTAATTTATATTATAAACAGAACAAATCTAAGAAATAAATGAAAAATAATTGAATAAAAACAACTGAAGTAAAGAAAAATGATTTAATAAACAGAACTAGTGTGAAAAATAATTTAATAAACAGAACTAATTACAGAAAGGAATGAAAAATAATTTATTAAACAAAACTAATTAAAAAATAATTTAATAAACAGAACTAATTAAGAAAAAATAATTAACAGAAAAAATTTAAGAAAGAATAATTTGATAAACAGAAATAATTTAAGAAAGAATAATTTGATAAGCAGAAATAATTTAAAAAAAATTAAAAATAATTTAATTTTCAGAATGAAATAAAAAATTGAAATACTGTTTATTAAATTAATTAAAATCACAGAAAATTTAAAAAATAATTTAATAAACAGAATTAATTATAGAAAAATTATTAAATAAGAAATTTAAAGGCAATATAACAAATAGAACTAATTACAGGGAAAATTAATAACAATTTAATAAACAGAACTAATTAAAGAAAAAATGAAAAATAATTTAACAAACAAAACGAAATGTAGATAAAATTTTTTTTTACTAAAATAACTATTACAAAATAAGTGTTTGTGATAGGAAGGTAAAAATTTAGGGACGTATGTGTTACATATTAATCCTTTCTTTAGGATGTCCAAAGGTGGAGAACTACGTTTCGACGGTCGTGTAGCAGTCGTCACAGGTGCAGGAGCAGGTTTGGGCAGATGTTATGCCTTACTTTTGGCCTCCAGGGGCGCCAAAGTAGTGGTTAACGATTTGGGAGGCGGCAGGCATGGCGAAGCAGGAGATACTGCCAATCGACCAGCCGATTTGGTCGTTAAGGAGATCAGGGTAAGGGATAAGGGATTTATTGCAACTTTTTAAGGGTTTGTCTGGGGTAAATGAAATATTTGGGAGATTGGTAAAGGATTGAGTCATCTGTAATGTGTTCTAATAATATAATGCTCTACAGCAGCTCGGTGTACTTTAAAATCGATTCGAACTGGTAAAACATGATTTTTACAGTTCTGTTCGTTAAGGAGCTCAGGGTAAGGGGGAAAGGTTTTATTGCATCTCTTGTAACTTTTTAATGATCAATCTGGGGTAAATGCAATATTCGGCAGATTTGTGTAGAATTAAATTATATACAATATTTTCTAACATCATAGTGCTCTACAGCAACTCGGTATACTTTAAAATCGTAATTAAAAATGCACTATTAATCAGAACGCTAAATGAGCCAACTTCAATGCTTCGTTACATTCTAGGACATTTATTTATTATTTATTACGTAACTTTTAAACTATTTATCCAAAATAAATAAAATATTCTGCACATATATATAAAATTGAATTGTTTATAATATTCTCTAACATCATAATGCTCTACAGCAACTCGGTATACTTTAAAATCGCTTCAAACTGGTAAAACATACTCTTCACAGTGCTGTTTGTTAAGAAAATCAGGGTAAGGGATAAAGGTTTTATTGCATCTCTTGTAACTTTTTAGGGGTTTGTCTGGGGTAAATGCAATATTCCGCAAATTTGTGCAGAATTAAATTGTGTACAATTTTTTCTAACATCATAATGCTCTACAGCAACTCAGTGTACTTTAAAATCGATTCAAATGGGATAAACATGATTTTTATAGTGCTGCTTGTTAAGGAGCTCAGGGTAAGGGATAAAGATTCTCTTGTAACTTTTTAAAGGTTGGTCTGGGGTAAATGCAATATTCGGCAAATTTATTCAGAATTAAATTGTGTACAATATTTTCTAACATCATGACCCTCTACAGCAACTCGGTGTACTTTAAATTCGCCCCAAACATGGTAATTATAATTTTTACAGTTGTAGATTGTAAATGTATTTTATTCCTGGTGTGTGAATTTTTAATAGACTTCAGCTATATTTTACCAGATTTGGCCCGATCAGCCCAATCAATTGTTGAGCAGCTGTTTTTAAATCGGTTTCGGTAGTGCAGAAACGTATTTAGATAATAGGATTACTTCGAGCAGTGTATATTTGTTCCGGAAAGTAATTGAGCGTTAAATTGATTCGATACAGGTTTATAACTGAAAAGGATATATATATATACTAGCTGACCCGACAGACCTTGTTCTGTACTCATGTCTACAATTTTTCAATTTTTTATACTAATATTTACTGCTTAGTTAAAAATAATAATTACTGTTTTTTGAATTACTATTTACACCAATACATGAGTGATGTTGAATGTAGAACTATTTCAAATAAAACGATTGTTCTCAATTCCCACAGTTAACACTTTAATTATTCATTTAACAAATATTAAAAAATGTTCAATAAAATTGTATATTAAAAATTATACACTGCGATTTATAGAACAAATTTATTTCCAATAGCTCAATTTATTTTATTGCATTTAAGGGTTATATAGTATTTTTAGTCATACCTGTAGATGTGGATGTATAAATGAATGATTCTTTGTTTATTCACGACTAAAACATCGATTTTCCAAATTTATCACACTAAAAATGATCGTCTGCCTTTGTGATTTATGTCACAGCATAAGATACACGTGTTGAAAATTGAAATCTTTTAAAAAGTACAACAAATTCAGAAAGAATTAATATATAGCATTCGCGGCAAAGGTGCAATATTACCTTTTATTTTTTTACCCAAAATATATGCTTCAATAATGTTGCCTATAATTTTTATAATTTCGTACCATATTTTAACTGGCTTTTAGTAATTTTAATATCTAAATTACATTCTTTTCTCCAATAAATCAATATACATTGTTGCTTAAGTTTATATTTGAAGTGAATTAATTTGTCAAATCCTGTTCACATGTGCTCTATTCAACTTACAATCAACAAAATTATTGCTCTGTGAATTTTTTTAATGTGCTCCAATTTACTTGATATTTTGGAAATAGGCTAATCTTTATCTTAATTTCAATGTTTTTAACAATTTGCACTCCGTCACCATCCACAGCATTAATTGGATTATTACTCTTTTAATTCTGATTTTATCAGAACTTGTAATACACTATTTTAAAGGTGATTAAATAAGCTACAACTTTCTCTATCATTAATTTTACCGTAACTTCTCTTATTGTAAAACGGCGAAGGGTTAAAGGGCTCGAAAAACCTCTGGTTGGACAGCTCCTTAATTAATCATACATCTATCAATATTTGTGTAACGAAAAAATAATAAACAATAATAATTAGTCAGAAAAATACCTCGAATTTTCTTATATATATACTTTTATACGTATTCTTTCAGAGGTATTATGATGAGAAATTGGTTGTTTTTTTTTAAATGTTTTTTTTTTCATGAAATCATGAGTTTTTTGGGAATCATTTGTACTAAAGTTGTGGTATTTTCTAGAATCTATCAAGATCTCTTAAACTAAGTTAATTCTAGATTGAATATGATTATTTTTAATTTTGGTGGATATGGCACTCAAAGTATTTGATTTAAATGGAAAAAAAAACATTGCATGCGTCCTTTATCTGCATGATAGCTCACTCATCTTACACGCAGAAGTACTCATTTTAAAGCTTATTTTGAGCACTATAAAAACCCATTTTCATATCTAGCCTAATAATGTTCCTAAAACACTATAAAATAACGATTTATTAAGATTTTAATTGATATAATTCTGTTCATTACATGATTTTCGTTAAAATGTATATTTTTGAAGGTGTTAGCAAAAAATGATGAAAAACGCAAAAAAGAAACAAATATTCAGTAGCCAGTAACTTGAAAAGTATTTCCTTTTTTGAAAAACATTATTAAATATTTTTCTCGTATAATTAGTTCTTTTATCGATACCCAACGTTATTTTGAAAAAAGTAAAATTACACCACTGAAAAGAAATGTCATCCACCCGAGAAGTGGTAAAGGAGTCTAAATTGTTTTCACTTCTGAAGAGTAAGATGAACCTAGTTCCAAAATTCCAAACGAATTGGAAAATAGTAAAAATTTCAGACCCAAAGCGCTCCATTGAGTAAATATTTCGTATCCAATGCCAAAAACATATGAATTTTTGACACAATGAAACTTCTAAATAATATTTTTTGTATTGTGACTTAGTATAGTAAGGCAAAACGACTGCAAATTGAATATTTTTGAGCGCAATCACTTATGGCTCGTCTTATTTGCACGAATTCGTACGGCGAATCTGTTCGCAAAGTGCGCAAACAAAATTATTGCAAGCAAAAGCAAACACACGCGCACGTCAGACGCATGCGCAGACTGCATCACTTGTCAAATGCATGTTATATTATTTGCATCTTATATTAATTTAATTTTTGGCACATCTCAGCTGCTTTTCGGCATTAATAATGTAGACATTACATTTTCCTTATTCATAATTATGAATTTATTATATTCTAATATCGCCTTAGCCTATAAGTGAATAGAAATGTTTGGCAAATGACAGTCCTCAATTGTTTTTAATGTCAAACTAAGCTTCAAATATTTTCAAGGGCAAACAATGATAAGCGGTTTTTTGTAATTTTTTCTATTTATTTCTACAATTTAACTATATTTCTATGAATCAAAACATTCTAGAAAATTTCCCGAACAAACTTCAGGAAGATTCACGAAAATCCGAATTATAGTTTAGGAGGAAATATGAAACTTACATTGTTACAGAAGAATTTTATATATAAGATATATATATATATATATACAATAGTACATCCGACATATTGCAAATAAAAATAAAGACGATTCCATGAACAGTACATGAGAAAAACTTTGCCTAACACTCTAGCTGCAACTTATTATCCAATTTTGGAATCGATTTTAAAGTACACCGAGTTGCTGTAGGACTTTATAATGTTAGACAATATTCTAGACAATTCAATTCTGTACAAATTCGCCGAATATTTCATCAACCTCACACGAACCATTCAAAAGTTACAAGAGATATAATAAATAACCACACAAATCAGTACTACAGCAGACTGACATCAAATCCACCTTATCCTGACAAATTTCAATTTTTTTGTGTTTTTTTACCAGGATGTATATATATATATATATATATATATATATATATATATACATACACACAACAATACTTCCGACGTATTGCAAATAAAACTAAAGACGACTCCATGAACAGCACAAAGCAAAAACTTGGTCTAACACTCTAGTTACGACTTATTATCCAATTTTGGAATCGATTTTGAAGTACACCGAGTTGCTGTAGAACCTTATGATGTTAGAAAATATTACAGACAATTCAATTCTGTACAAATTCGCCGAATATTTCATCAACCTCAGACGTACCATTCAAAAGTTACAAAAGATATAATAGATAGATGCACAAATCAGTAGTACATCAGACTGACATTAATTTAACCAAATCCTGGCTAATTTTGTATTTTTTGGTGTCTTTTTCACCAGGATGCAGGAGGTGAAGCAGTTCCTGACTACAATTCCGTGGTTGATGGCGAAAAAGTTATCAAAACCGCCCTGGACAACTATGGACGTATCGATATCCTGATCAACAATGCAGGAATTTTGAGGGATAAGAGTTTTGCTAGGATCTCTGACCAGGTAAGAAAAGGACCAGAATGCTAAAACTGGTGTTGGTTTAATAATAGATCGATCCTGCACCAATATTGATGATAAACAGAAACACCAGGACCAGATTTGATGTGTTGTCTAATTTTTCTGCAGGATTGGGATTTGGTGCACGCCGTCCATCTAAAAGGCAGTTTCAAAACAGCACAAGCAGCCTGGCCAATTTTCAAAAAACAAGGTTACGGCAGAATCGTGATGACTTCCAGTAATTCAGGAGTTTATGGAAATTTTGGTCAAGCCAACTACAGGTATCTACACACAAACCAAACCCTACAAAACTTTTTTACTACCAACTATCTCTTACCCCAGTGCTGCAAAAATGGGAGCAATAGGCCTGGCGAGTACAATAGCCATCGAAGGTGCCAAAAACAATATTTTGTGCAATGTTATTGTACCAACTGCAGCTTCTCGTTTGACCGAAGACATTTTGCCTCCGGAAATGTTTGCAGAACTGAAACCGGAGCTTATTGCTCCGGTAGTTGCTTATCTTTGTCATGAATCTTGCGAGGATAATGGAATTGTGGTCGAAAGTGCTGTTGGCTGGGCAGGAAAGGTAAAGGAAATTGATTACTTTTGAACCACTTCTCATAGTTCTATCAATTGGTCGATTTTGACTGTCAACTTTATCACCAGGCCAAGTGCCATCAAAATCTAAGAAGAGTAAATCCAAGGTTTTCCTTGTAAAGTTGTGTGTATTGTTTTATTTCAGTTGCACATGGTGAGGTCTCCTGGTGCCTTCGTGAGATCTACAATTGGAGCTGATGTCTCAATTGAACAAGTTCGTGACAAGTGGTCAGAAATCACGGATATGTCTAAAGCCTTCAGGATTGAGACTATTACTGAAGCTTCTACTGAACTCATGACGTCCTTACAGGTAAAATTTGAACGAAACAATATCAGTACATCTTGGTTCTATCAATCTACAATCAATTGTTCTATATTTTTTCCCAGGCGTTCCAGGACAATCAAAACAGCAACTCCTCAGACACTGCAAGTGACCAGTTCCAATTTTGTTTCAAGGATTTGATCCTGTACGCCCTAGGAGGTACCATCATTTGAAGCAAATATTAGTAGCATATGTGCATATGTTTGTTTTTGCAGTTGGAGCAAGTGTGTCAGATCCCTCAGACTTGAGATTTTTGTACGAGAGTCATGAAGACTTTGGACCTTTGCCAACTTACTTTGTTTTACCGAGTTTGATGATCACAATGTCTAGCAGTATCGTCAGAGGCGCTATTAAACACAAGGAAGTCGACTTTTCGAATGTTTTGCATGGTGAACAATACTTAGAGGTAAGTAGAAACAGTCACCAGCAAATATTGTTTTTGCAATTTCACTCATCATGTATTAATTGTGTTTGAAGAACTTCATGTAATTGAAATTAACATGCATTCATTGACTGCTTGTATGTTTTGACTATTTCGCTGGCGATACAGTTTCATTCTTTAAACACCTATAATATCTGTCTTGCCTAAAAAATTGAAGCCATACTTTTATATTTGTTTTATTTATAAAGCCTTGCACATAGCTTGATCTGTGAATCATTTTCTTTTTTATGGGAACGTTAATGCAATGATCATCATCAATATTACGAAGTAATAAATTAACCATATTTGTTAATTTGGCCAAATATTCCAAATTGTCCATTTGCATGTCGCAATCGTCTAATTTGCATGAAACACAACCTAGCTGAAATTAACTTTTCGGACACTGTATCTAGTTTAGGTAGATAATTAGGTATAGGTGGAAATACAAACGCGTTAAATTTACACAAAGTGGGAATTTTACCCGAATTTAATGCCTTTCGACAAGTTTGACATCCAACCTGATTATTTGAATCAATATTCAGAAAATCATTATTAAGAATTTGTTGTTGAGCTTCATTTAATATTTTTAAGTCACTTTGAAACCAAAGTCTATCACACACAAAACATACATAGCCAAAGCTATCATTTGTCAATTGTTTTTCAAACAATTTTCGTGCATTCGTAAACAAGTTGAAGTCTTTATATGGAAGTTCAAATACATCATTTGACTCTTGCAAAAATCAGTTCTTGTCACATTATACACAGAATGATCAATTTGCAATTGACGTGATGTATTTGCTGTATCAGAAAAAGTTACAGAAGTACATTCATCTAAAAAGATAACAGAATAATATGTTTAAGAGAAGCCTTGCACAAATACGACCAATCAGAATCGACCCGTATAGAAATCACATCATCGAGAGCGAATGACCTTCACTTGACCTTGCCGTAACAATTTTCGTTGCAATTGTACGGATTTACACCTAAAGAAGACTTCAATAAATGTTAATGAGTTTTGGTTCAACAGATTTTGGATGAACTTCCACAAAACGGTCCTGTGCAAACAACGTGCAAAGTTTTAGACGTCCTGGATAAAAAATCAGGAGCTGTAGTAATCGTCGAAGGTAAACAAACCAACACAATATTTACAAACAAATTTTTGGCATTTCTGTATCTTTTTCCCCAGGTGAGAGTTTTGACCCAAGTGGTAAATTGATTGTGAAAGCCCAGTGCAGTACTTTTGTGGTAGGAGCCGGTGGTTTTGGGGGCAAAAGAGAGACTAATGTGGCAGTGCAGTGTGTACCAGCCCCTAATAGGAAGCCTGATGCAGTTATGCAGATGAAGACGTCTGTGGACCAAGCTGCCTTGTACAGGTAAAAATAAAAAAGATTGTTTTCTTGTTTTCTAGATAAAGATATATTGTTTTCTAATCAACCATTTTTTTTCTATTTTTTGCAGGTTATCGGGAGACTTGAATCCACTCCACATTGACCCAAACATGGCCCTTGTTTCTGGTTTTAAGCAACCTATTCTGCATGGACTTTGCACTTTAGGTAAGTTGACTTTCTATCAAAATTAATATTGATGAAGGAATTTTCATTCAAATTTAATCCTAGATTATTTTGTTTTGGTATTTTGTGATGGAATAATGGGATCACTTCGGATTTCTGTTTTTCTAGGGTTGTTGTGGATTTTTTTAAGCTATTGTAGATGATGTTTGAATTTTGTGAAGATTTTTGGGACAATAGTAGTATACAATTTACCTTTTCGGCGGACTATTGTAAATCCATTAAATTTACTGAATGTCCTATACTGGACAGTTGTGAATAAAAGAGTTAATAAAAAAAAATAAAAAAAAAGATTTTTGGGACGTTGTGGATATTTAAAATGCTTTAGGGATATTTTAGGAACTTTGGTAATATTAGGCATTTTTTATCAATGTAGATTCAATAGAAAATAATATATTTAACACTTACGAGACGGCACCGATTTCAAAACGATCTACTGTACCGGCTGTGAATTTGATTTCATTGTGTATGTTATGCAATTTGTTTGATAAAAATTTGTAGTCATTGAAGGACATACATTTATAATATTAATTTATTTTTGATCATTTTATAAAGAATGGTTGCGTTCAAAACAATTTGTCTGTATGAATGTCTATTTGAAACCTGTCGTTTTGCTATATGTAAAAGCGCTCGGTCGTTTTAAATATCAAAAAAAAAAAAAACTATATAGCAAAGAAAAAGGCTAAAAATACTACTAAAATAACTTAAAATTATTTTCTAAATACAACATTGTTTATCACTGCTATATGTAATTTATTTAACCTTTCCTTGTTTATAAAATAGCTTCTGTCAGAGTATGTTTGTCCACTCAGGTGGACAGCCGCCCCCAAAGAGTTAAATTACAGGACTATAGTTGTTATCAAAGTACACATATTAAAGAATAATATATTTTAATTGCAAGACTGTAGTACAAACAGTGGGTTTTTAAGAAATTTTTGAAGCAGGCATTGTAATGCAAGAACCACTGAAGTAAGTTTTTTCAGAAACTTGCAGATATCTCGAAAATTTTCTAAGAAAAGTTAACTGTTTTAGTATTTGTTATCAAAGTACACATATTGAAGAATAATATATTTTAATTGCAAGACTGTAGTACAAACAGTGGGTTTTTAAGAAATTTTTGAAGCAGACATTGCAACACAGAAATGAAGTAGTTTTCTTTCGGAAATTTGCAGATTTTTCTAAAATTTTCTATGAAAAGTCAACAGTTTTAGTATTTGTTATCAAAATAGATATATTAAAGAATAATATATTATAATTACAAGACTGCAGTACAAATGGTGCGTCCTTAATAAATTTTTGAAAAAGACATTGCAATACAGTCATGAATTAAGTAAGTTTATTCGGAAATTTGCAGATATTTCAAAAACTTTCTATAAAAAGACATCAATTTTAGTATTTGTTATTCAAGTAGACATAATGAGAAATAATATATGTGAATTTTTAGACTGTGACTATACGGGAGCTCTTTTTCAATTTTGTGTAAAATTGGGCAACTATTTTTTTTTAAATTGAATTCGAAATGAAATGACGATTGTTAATGTTCTGGAGATAAATTGATTTATGATTTATGATTTACATTTGATTTGCTCAGATATAACAAGATAGCAAAAATAATGAAAGTTACAGTATTTGTAATAATATATTTGAAAACGTTTAAAATTTCTCGAATATTTCATTACGGTACGGGAAGTTCCAGCAATTTGCCTTAAGGCACGATGCCATACACCACTAGTTAGGGATATTTTAGGAACTTCGTGAATATCAATCGGATGCCGTCGATACTTTTGGAACACTGTGGATATTTTTGGGACGTTTTCTTTTTGCTAAATTTTTTAGGACATTGTGGAGGATATTTTTAGAATTTTTAGGATTTTGTGATTAACCTTCATATTTTTTTTCTATTTCAGGTTTTTCGGTTAGAGCAGTATTAAAACAATATGCCGACAACAATGCATCCTTATTCCGGGCAGTAAAAGTTCGGTTCACAAAACCTGTACTTCCTGGTCAAACATTGGTGGTCAAAATGTGGCAGGAAAAAAAGAGGATCCACTTTGAAACCTCTATTTTGGAAACCGGAGTTGCTGTCATCACAGGTAATAATACACATATATAAAAAAATCGAATAATTGCCTCGAAAACCCTAAAAACAGCCCTTTTCTTTTTCACATACAAACGTTTTCTAACTAAAACGTAGAATCAATTTGAGCTCTATTGCTATTATATAAAGTTCATATTAAATAACAAGCACTCACTTTATACTCCTTCTAAACGATTATTCGGATTTTGATAAATCTTTCTGAAGTTTGTTAAGGACATTTTCTAGGATGTATGTGATTATAAAGTACTGGGATGTATGTGCAATATTGTAGAAATAATAAATAAATTGATCTAAGGTACATTTCCTCCTTGTTTTTTAAACAAATCTCTTGGTGTAATATTTCCAAAACAACTATTTCATATTACTAATTATCCCCGTATCTTGTCCTTCAATGATATCACTGAATATGTCTGCAAAAAGGGCACGATTTGCTGAAATTGCAAATAATTATGCAATTCTCTCGTCTCGAGATTTATCTTTGTCTTTCGCGAAGAAGAAAACTTCTTTCCATCTTTTTCTTTTGCGGTTGTGAAAGATCAGTAAAATCAGCAGAATCAGCAAAATCAGCAAAAATAGCAGTAAAATCAGGAAAAGGGAAAAGGGATTTTGTTGAAAAATTATCTTGTGTTAAAAAATAAATTGCATTATTTATAGTAAACAAATGGTGTTAGGTTTGTGAACGATGTAAAGATTTGAGTATTTTTGATGTTTGATTGGAATTTTAAAGTATACCGAGTTGCTGTATGGCTTCATGATGTTAGACAATATTTTAGATTATTCAATTTTAAACAAATTTTGTAAATACATAATTCATATAAATCTAACGGTTTTAAAGTTACACAGCCTTAAACAAAACCATTGCATTCGTCTCATCAATTTTATACTTTCATGTTTTAATTTTAAAGTATACAGAGTTGTTGTAGGGCATTATGTTGTTAGAAAAATTTATAGATTATTCAATTTCAAATAAATTTGTCTGATATATCATTTATATCACACGAATCGTTTATGATTTACAGAATTTACAAAAATATATTGCACCAAATTCTTCTTTAATAAAAGTACATACGTACATACATATATGCATTAAAAAAATCTCGCATAATTTTCGTATTTTGATTGCAATTTTAAAGTATACCGAGTTGCTGTAGGGCTTTATGGTGTTTGACAATATTTTACATTGTTGAGTTTTAAACAAATTTTGTAAATACATCATTTATATTAAACGATTGGTTTTAAAGTTACACAGCCTTATACAAAACCATTGCATTCGCCTAGTCAGTTTTACATTTGCATGTTTTAAAATCGATTTTAAAGTATATCGAGTTGTTGTAGGGCATTATGATGTTAGACAATATTATAGATAATTCAATTTCAAATTTGTCTGATATATTATTTATATCAAACAAATCGTTTAGGATTTACAGAATTTACAAAAATATATTGCACTAAATTCTTTTTTTAAAAAAAGTACATATATGCTTTACAAAGGCCTCGCATAATTTTCGTATTTTGATTGCAATTTTAAAGTATACCGAGTTGATGTAGGGCATTATGATGTTAGACAATATTTTAGATCATTGAATTTTAAATAAATTTTGTAAATACAACATTCATATAAAGCTAACGGTTTTAAAGTTACACAGTCTTATACAAAACCATTGCATTCGCCTGGTCAATTTTATATTTTCATGTTTTAAAATTGATTTTAAAGTATACCGAGTTGTTGTAGGGCATTATGTTGTTAGAAAAATTTATAAATTATTCAATTTTAAACAAATTTGTCTCATATTGTATTTATATCAAGCGAATCGTTTACGATTTACAGAATTTACAAAAATATATTGCATCAAATTCTTTTTTTAAAAAACTACATATGCATTACAAAGATCCCGCATAATTTTCGTATTTTGATTGCAATTTTGAAGTACACCGAGTTGCTGTCGGGCATCATGATATTAGACAATATTTTAGATGATTAAATTTTAAACAAATTTTGTTAAAACATCATTCAAATAAAACTAACGGTTTCAAAGTTACACAGTCTTATACAAAACCATTGCATACGCCTCGTCAATTTTATACCTTCATGTTTTAAAATTGATTTTAAAGTATACCGAGTTGTTGTAGAGCATTTTGTTGTTAGAAAAATTTATAGACGATTTAATTCTAAATAAATTTGTCTAATATTTTATTTACTTTACACAAACCGTCTAAAAGTTACAAATGTTATAATAACACTTCAGCGCACTAAAACGACTAAATACGCAGCAAAAATGATCCGTATTAATTTTTATCAATTATCATAAACATGTTTCAATATTATTTGGTATCATATTTGCTCATAATGAAATTATTTCCGTCTCTAAAATTTAAATTAAAACCGCCATGTATCATATGTTTCCGTGCTGCCTCGTTCCAATTTTGCAATTACATTAAAACATCACATTTCTGTGTGTTTTCGATTCGTTTAACTAATTAATTAATAAATGCGTTTGATTTAATGCGAAATATGGTGAAAATTTCATTTACCTAATACTGGCAATCGTAAGAGAGCTGGGGGAAAATTTATAAACTATAGTAATAAAATTCGGAAGTGCATTTATTTATTGCATCGCGCGTAGATCGTAAAATAGTTATTTGATGTAAAAGATATATATGACAAAATGTTTGAATTTAATAAAGCTATAATTTTTTATAACAACAAAATACTCTAAAACAACTCAGTATATTCATAAATCGATTTTATAACATGTAAATATAAGAATTAATAGACAAATGCACTAGTTTTGTATAGGGCTCTATAACTTTTGAACTATTCGTTTAATATAAATGATGCATTTACAAAATTTGTTTAAAATTGAATAATCTATGATATTGTCTAACATTATAATGACCTGCAGCAACTCGATATACCTATAAAATGCAATAGAAAATGCTGAATTTTGCGTCTATTATCCTTTGTCGGAACAAATTTGTTTTCTATACTATATATAGTACACGCATTTAATCGACGAACGAGTTTTTTATAAATACTAAATTGTTGAACGTTCTAAATTAATTATTTGATGGATTAAAAAATTACAAAAGTTGGCAACAACTAAAAATATAAATTGAAAATTTACATTTACATAGTCGAGTGATAAAACTTTTTTATTTATCGAATATATATACATATATATATATATATATATATATAATTAAAAAAACTTACCAAAAACAGGAATATAAAAAAGTAGGTACTCACCTGAAACAAAAAAAACATTAGTCATCATAATAATATTTATGCAATACGAATTTTAATAAAATTAAATTTAAAAATAATTATGATAAATAAACAGCTAAATTATTATTATTATTAAATTAAAAATCGAAAATCGAAAATCGAAAAATTTCTATTCGAAATTAATGAAAAGTTCACACTTTTCATTAATTTCGAATAGAAATTAGTATAATTTAACACAAGTACAAAAAATATTAGTCGTAAATAAATTAACAAATAATAATAAAATATATGTATTCTGTACGTTTCGATCCTAATAATTTAAAATAATTAGAAAACAAATAGGAAAAAATTATAACCTTATAATATGTCTAACAATTCATTGACAAAAAGTAGTAAAATAGAGATTATGTACCATGAGCCTACTTTTGGATACAATATTTGTTACTTTTATTAATAAATAAATAAATTAATATATATATATATATATATATATATATATATATATATACATAAATATGTATGTAATATACAAATATTATCCGCTAGGTCGTTCTATTTTGAATTGTTCAAAAACCAACCGTTATTCGGACAGAAACAGCTATGTTTCATATGTATATATATACAAATATGTATATATATATATATATATATATATATATATATATATGTATATATATGTGTGTATATATGTATATTTATATGAATATAATATCGTTTGCATAACATACATTCTCTTTGGAAACATTCTTAAAACGCGCGCACGAAACAATAGCATTCATTTTCGTATCGTAATGGCTTTGCAGATATAATTTTAAATTATATACTTATATATATATATATATATATATATTTATATATATATATACATATATATATAAATGAGAAAAATCTATATACAAAGCTTAGAGATAGATAAAAATTCACCAAAATACTTGCATAATTTACCAGGCTTGGGCAGAAATACCAAATTTTGTCCAATATCTAAAGTGTTGCATTCAAGTGCGGTTTTTGGTCACTAATTTTGGTTTTACTAAAATGTTTTGTAAGAACAATATATAGATCATACCTTTGGCTATATATCTGCCATATACAGTTTTGAAATTTAACGGCAGGTTTAGAAGATATACAGAATCTCATCGAAATATACCACATAGTTTCACCAAAGTTACTATAAGTGATAAGATTAACTATGCACTAATATGCATTTTTGGTACACAAATTGTTTTTGTCAAATAACTCAAAAATTTTATATGAAACCACATCTTTTCGGTTATATAGGGTGAAACTAGATAAAATTTACAACATTTCCTAAGGAACACTTTTATACACTCCGATATAAAAGTTTTGAATAAAACGACTTTGAATTCGATATTTCACTCTTTAGTAGCAATAAATATAGAAAATTCGGGACATTTTTTTGGTTTTTGTCAAATAACTCTAAAATTAACTAACTTTTAGATGATATTTTTGGCTACAAATTCACTAAAGACTGTTTTGAAATCCAGCAATCCTTTTAAAAGATATAAGCAAAATCCAAATTTGTCTGATGCCTTTGCATGATGAAATATGCAAGGCATTTAAGTGCATTTTTAGTATACTAAATGTACTTTTAGCAAAATGTGGTGTGAGAAAAATTTGTAAATTATGTTTTTTTCAACAAATTCACTGAAGACTGCTTGGAAATCCAAACACGTGTTTAGAAGTTATGAGTAAAATTAACAAACAACACACAACTTTCTTATTTGCTGAAGGAAAATGCACTGCAATGCAACATTTGGTGTGATTCCTAATCGTACATTCAAAGCCCGGGACATTTTTTTGGTTTTTGTCAAATAACTCAAAAATTTCACATGAAACCACCCCTGTCCGGTCATACAGGGTGAAACTAGATAAAATTTACAACATTTCTAGGGAACACTTTTATACACTCCGATATAAAAGGTTCGAATAAAACGACTTTGAATTCGATATTTCATTCTTGAGCAATAAATATAGAAAATTCGGAACATTTTTTGTTCTAATTTCAGGAGCCTTCGTAGACCTCAACGAAGTGATAGAAACCACCACAAAACCTCCAACAACGTCCACCAACACTTCCACAAGTGGTGTTGGCTTAAAAACTGACGTCATATTCCAAAAAATCAAAGAAGGAGTAGCTGCACGTCCTGAATTAGCAAAATCCATCAACGGAGTCTTCTTGTACAATATCACCAACGAAGGAAAAACCGCCAAACAATGGAGTAAGTAATAAAGCACTAATTCAGCCCTTATTTAGGTACTAACTGGTCAAAATTTTTTTTAACAGCTGTCGATTTGAAACAACTTCGAGTCTACGAAGGACCAGCTGACAAGGGCATCAAAGTAGATACAACTTTGACGGTTTCCGATGACGATTTCATGGAAATTGCTTTGGGAAAATTAAATCCTCAGTTGGCTTTCATGAAAGGAAAACTGAAAATCACAGGGAATATTATGTTGACCCAAAAATTGGCGCCTTTGCTGAAATCGGAGGCCAAACTTTAAGGGCTGATGCGGATGATCGAGATGAGTGAGTAGAAAAGGAGTTCTAAATGGTTTGGTCGATATTAAGATGTATTATTCCTGGTTAGGTATTAATTGATTTTTTGTTGTGTATTTTTTTATAAATAAAATTATTCTTGCTAGATGTAACTTGGGCGTTTTAGTTATTTTGACCCACAATGCTGTTTCAAGGGGCTCTGTAAGGTTTTGTGGTAGATATAGATAGTTTTGGTGTTAGAACAAGTTTTAGATAATTTATTGCACTAAAATTTACCCGAAGAAAGTATACTATTTTTTTTAATATTTAAAAAGTTATTACAGCAAATATAAACACGTGTTTCGGGTTGGAACATTGTCCTTTCCAGGAGCTTCTTGAGCCTCTCCTAGTGTTCGTATTTTCGCCAAAAATTTTATATATTATATACCAAACTGTCCTTTATATATATGTATGTATATATATTTATATTTATATATATTTCTCTTATAATTTGATGAAAATCCCTCTCGTCGTCCTGTATGTCGTGTATACATATTTCGTAATCCTCGCATTGTAGTGTAATTAATTAGCGCAAAACAGCTTCCCTTTGATGACGAGAAGAAAGGTTTTCTGTTTTATGTTTAATATACACGAAATTACAATAATAATATGTATATTAACTTCTATTATTAATATAAAAAATTAGCAAAATACTCCTCGACGTTTTTGGTGCAAAAGTGAAAAATCTTGAGCAATAAATAGTAGATTCGGGACATTTTTTTGGTTTTTATCAAATAACTCATAATGTTTATATAAAAGCACCCCTTTTCAGTTAGATAGGGTGAAACTAGATCAAATTTACAACAATTCTTAGAGAATACTTTTATACACTCCGATATAAATGTTTTGAATAAAACGACCTTGAATTCGATACTTCATTATTTACCAACATTGGGGACCTTCTTTCGGTTTTTGTCAAATAACTCGCAAACTTCTAATTGTATCTTATCACAACCTTAGAAAATTTTTTAGCCTATTAAATTATCTTAAATTTCATCTAATACCAAAATTATCTAGGACGATTATATACGTCGATATTATTCGTCGTCGACAGTCGACACGTCCGAGAACGCCTGTCACGTCCGTCGTTGCAATTCTTCATTCGGAAAATGTCAAAATGTCTCTCGAACACGTTTGGGAAAGCGTCACGTATAACTATTATAGCTATAGTTATATAGTAAAACTGTAGTTATATAGCTATTTAATAGCTATCTGAGCAGAAGATCTATATATATATATATATATATATATATATATATATATATAAAATAGGTGCAACACGTGCAATGTAGTTTCTGCGACATCATTGATTTTGGATTTCATATCTCACGTTTTGCACTTTTAGAGTTCTATATATATATATATATATATATATATATATATATATATATAACATCGTTTTATCATGTAGATACATTATTTTCATTTTATTTCCAACATTTGATCCGTGAACATCATTTAAAAACCTTAATGTGCCATAAATGGCATAAACGACATAATAAAGCATTTTCACAACGTTATTTTATATCTTCGATATCATTTATATTTCGTGTAAAAATATATAATACATTATGTATATATATATATATATATATATATATATATATATATATAAAATTTCAGCAATTTCCAATTTTTGTGATTAAACATTTTCACCATTAACTTCCCGTAGGGTAGTTATAGTAATGGGCCAAAAATCGAAAATGAAATTTTTTGCATTTCTCGATGTTCTGAAGGTTTCTGAACATTTTGGCATACCTCAGAAAAAATGGATGTGTGTGTGCGTGTGTGTTTTGTATGTCCGCATTTTTTCGTCCATGTTTTCGGGCGCACGGATCAACCGGTTTGAATGGTTTAAAAAACATTCGATTCCTATTGATAGGAAGATGTACTGATTAGTTTTTGGCAAAGGCAGGTCCAGCCGTTACGGAGATATGGAGCAAAGAGTGCAGAAAATACAAATCGAGATCAAAAATACAAAAAAACATTCAATTCGTAATGACGGGGAAAAGTGGTTATTAGTTTTTGGCAGAGGTAGGCCCAGCGGTTTTGGAGATACAGAGCTAGATGTTTAAAAAAATGGCAGTTTTGAGAGAACGGATCCGATTTGTATGATCCAAAAAACATTCAATTCGTAATGACGGGGAAAAGTGGTTATTAGTTTTTACAAAGGCAGGCCCAGCGGTTTCGGAAAGACAGAGCTAAATGTTAAAAAAATGGCAGTTTTTGAGAGAACAAAGCGTCCGATTTAAATGATTCAAAGAACTTTCTGCTTGTTTCAACAAAATAATTGCTTTTGGAAAAAATATTTTTGTTTCTAATTTTTGTTTCAAAAAATATTTTTGTAATTTTGGATTAAAAATTCAAAAAATTGCCCAAGCTAAGCACAGTCTAAGCGCCACTCTGGTACAAATGTTTACCCAACTGCGTTTAGACTGTTTATGTTGGAGCACATTTCCAATTTTGTGAGAAAACTATTGAAAAATGTGAAAATGCCGCCAAGCTAAGCACAGTATAAGTGAAAATGTCGCACAGAATTATTTGCAAATGCGTTTAGACTGTGACTATACGGGAGCACTTTTTCAATTTTGTGTAAATTAGGCAACTATTTTTTTTTCGAAATTGAATTCGAAATGAAATGACGATTGTTAATGTTCTGGAGATAAATTGATTTATGATTGAATTTGATTTGCTCAGATATAACAAGTTAGCAAAAATAATGAAAGTACAGTATTTGTAATAATATGTTTGAAAACGTTTAAAATTTCTCGAATATTTCGTTACGGTACGGGAAGTTCCAGCAATTTGCCTTAAGGCACGATGCCATACACCACTAGTTTGGAATTTTATTATACATTCCAAATGAATAAATTTATTTACACATACATGAGTAAGGTAAGTCCATCGACTGTTGCAATAAGAAATAAGGAACCACTACCACTGATGATGGAACAAGAAGAACAGCACAAGAAGTTGTTAAGAATCAAGAAAAAAAAATAAAGAAAAAAAAAACAAGAAAGGCATCTTAAGATTCCTCCAAGGTTGCCATCGAGTCCGCGGTATGCGTCCTTGATATTACTTTTATCATACGATTTTTATTATTTCGACCGGTTATTAAAATATAAAATAAAATGGTAAAGGGATAAAGAAATGTTGAATTATATTTACACCGATAATATTATTTTTGTCAAATTTATATCTAATTAATTGCTCAGATTGTGCTTCAATGTATATTGGTCAAACTTAAGAAAATTGGGAAAATTTAATAAAAATCCAAAACAATTCAAAACTATGCTTACTGAACACATTAACAAATATAATATAGATTTTTTTTATTTGAAAAACTGCTTTATTTGACTTAAAATAATTCAAATTGTATACACCTATTCTGGGAATATCATTATACTATCATAATATAATATTGTTTGCATATATATATATTTGTTTCAATTAACTTATATAAGTATGAAAAGAGCTATTAAAAACATACTGCCATCAAGATATAATATAGATATTTTTAACCCATGGCACATTTTGAAAAAAAAATGAGAGACGTTTTGCTAAAGCTTGTTATATTCAACTACAAAACGAAAATCAATAATAATATTTTAAAGAAATTCATGTAGTCAAGAATGTATATTTTCACATTAATGATGCAAGTCGATAATATGTATCTTTATATTTTATTAAGATATTTTTAAGATTATTTTTCCCAAACATGGAACTTGCTAATGCATTCGGACTGCAATTTGAAGAAATTAGGAAAATAAGTGATTTTGGGATAAATAATACAAACACTGAGGGTTGTAGTAATAATAATATAAAAATAACGTATATGAAAATTATATATGAAAAATAATAGAAATTTCGGGATATTTTTTTGGTTTTTGTCAAATAACTCACAAACTTTATATGAAAGCACCAGTTTTAAGTTAAATAGGGTGAAACTAGATAAAATTTACTACGATTTCATGTCAACTGTTATATACATTCCGATATAAAAGTTTTGAATAAAACGACTTTGAATTCTCGAAAAGAAACTTCAAGATATTTTTTTGGTTTTGGTCAAATAACTCACAATCTTTATATGAAAGCACCCCTTTTAAGTTAAATAGCGTGAAACTAGATACAATTTACTAAAATTCCATGTCAACAGTTATATACACTCCAATATAAAAGTTTTGAAAAAAAACGACTTTAAATTTGATTTTTCCTACTTATTTTTTCATTACTGAGTGTTATTTGATACTTTCTATATGAGTATGCCAATTAATGTTGCACTTTTAGTGAAAGAGTTAAAACAGCAAATCGCGATTAACACAGTTCGATGGCAAATTGAAAGTATTATATAAAAAGCTTTTTGAATTTTCAAAATAACTTAAAATGTTCTCGAGATATTGCATTTTTAAACATTTCGATTTCGGAGAATCCATATTGATTTTTTACAACTTATAAAATTTGCAAAGTGTAAACATGCAATTTTAAAGAAACTATTGCAGATATTTTGGTGATTCAAAAAGTTGTTCTAATAACATTTTTAATTTGCCATCGAATAGCAATTTCAAATTTTTACGAGTTTATCAAGAATATATATTATACATAAATAAATCTTCAGGATTGTGAGAAATAGTTAACAATGCAAGTCGATGCTATATTAATAGTCAGTTAATATATTTTTAAAGCTGATTTATTATTACCGATTGTGTTATTTGATGCTTTCTATGTGAGTATGCAAATTAATGTTGCATTTTTAGTGAAAGAGTTAAAACAACAAATCGTGATTAACACAGTTCGATGGCAAATCGAAAGTATTATATAAAGGACTTTTTGAATTTCTAAAATATAACAAAGCGTTCTCGAGATATTGCATTTTTAAACATTTCGATTTCGCAGGATCCATTTTGATTTTTTACAACTTATAAAATTTGCAAAGTGTAAAAATGCAATTTTATAAAAACTATTGCAGATATTTTGGTGATTCAAAAAGTTGTTCTAATAACATTTTTAATTTGCCATCGAATAGTAATATTCTTGATCTACAATGTTTACTAGTTCATGAAGTATATACATTATACATAAATAAATCTTCAGGGTTTGAA